GCAGGGAGGGCTCCGGCCCCTCCGCAAGGCCGCCCTGACACGCGAGGGGCCGCCGGCTCCTGGGGAGCCGCCCCCTCTGCCCGGGTGATGCCGGAGCTCGCCCCGCGGGGCTGGGAGCCCAGGAGGAAAGGGCGGAATAACGCACTCACACCCAGCAGGGAAATATTTACCCTGTTGAAGAGGCTGCTGGCTGTGAAGTCAGGTTTTTCTGGCAAGCACTGACAAGTATGACTTCCTCTGCTCTGAGCTCTCCTAGCAAGGCCGGCAGGTGCTTTTTTTCCATGCAGGGCGGGAGCGGGAGGAGCTGTAACCGCAGAGGGGAAACTTGACACAGGCAAATAGATGACAAGCGATTTTATTTTGCAAAACAATCACTATACAGCAACAAATACAATTGCAAATTGGATTGAAAAACATGAACTACCTACCACCAGCCATTCAAGAAGTGCCTCTTATGGTAACAGGCTCTAGAATTATCAGAAAAAACACAGGTTTGTAACAGCAGACCGTGTTCCTTGACATCTCAGCATACAGCATGGTTATTTGTTGGCTTTTTCTCTTTGCTAAAGTTGAAGTGGCTTTCATCATACATACACTTGACTTTCCAAAGTGTGAAACTAATTTACCTTCCTGCAGTGGGAATTGCTAGAGTTGCAGAGAGAGTTGCTTTAGCAGTCTGGCTAGTGAGAGAACGTGACACATACCTAGGCTAGAAATCTACCTGCATCGGTTTTCACAGCAAAGGTGATCTACTCTTCAAGGCATTTGCCTTTGAAGGGACATCTGTACTTGAGTTTTGAACAGTATTTGGTCCAGCATGGAAAAAAAACTTCTGCTCACGTGTGGGAGTCCACACAGGCTGCCTTTCGACTCCCTCTGGGTCGCGTATATAGGCAAATGTAGATTTGTAAGCAGTCGTGATGAGGATACTACTGTACCTTAGCAGAGCACTGAATGGATAATACCATTTACTGCTGTACAGTGAAAATATACATAGCCCTTGTGGGCACACGATTTCCCTCATCAGTTTGAGTTTTTCCTTTACTGTTGCTGGACAGAGCTTTGCTCAACTTTGATTTCTTACCGCTTGTGGTTACATAGAAAAAGGACTCTGCAGGTGGGGCAGAAGAACTTTTTCTTTTGTCTCTACAACTTGATGCTTTATTATTTTGAGGCTCTCCAAACAAGGCTGCACCATTCCTTTTGTCTGGATTATCTCTGCTTTGTTACAGAGTTGGGTCTCAGGCACCCAACATCCCTGCTGGCTCAACATGCCTGTGGAAAAGAAACACAGCGGATGCAGTTTCCAGGAAGCTGGCTCTATCTTCTTCATTAGTGGGCATTACATATGTATAAAAACATTGGTTTTAAACCCAACACTCTTTTTGAGAAGTTAAGATTAATATGAGCTTTTCCAGTGAACATCTAGAGTCATGTAACATAAGTTTTGGGTTTTTCAATTATTATTTAACAGCACAAAACTAATTTATTTTCATCTAACTCCACAGCATTCTAGAATTCTCTCTACGGAAGGATGATTATGATTGCAAAGGTCCTTGCTTGAATCAAGACAAGAAAGCTCATTTTAATGCATGAAATAAATGACTTAGTGTGTTACAACACTCTAACTTTGGACTCATAGGTGGATTAACTAAACTTCATTTTCTAGAATATATGTCAATTTTTAAAACCTGAATACAAAAAAAACAACTTGAGTCGCAGGTTAACACTGTTCTTACTGGCTGGTGTTCAGCTTCAGAGAAGCTGAGGCTCAGTAGTACCAAAGACTTTTTCCCACACTGGCAAAAGTCATTACAAGAACCCACTGCAAGGGTAATTTATATTAATTAATTGATAGCATGATCAGAGCAACATGACATAAACACTGTTTTTCTTTTGTCTGTTGTTTTTCCAGAAAACAAAGGAAGAGGCTTGTAATGCACCTCACTTGATACTGCTAATGTGAATTTTTAGGATTACTCTAAGCAGAAGTATAACAAATACAAGGCAGAAGTCAGAATCCTTCAGAGGGATCTAGCATGGTTCTAAACTCACCATCCTCTGTATAAAACAACCACCTTACAAACAGTATTAGGTATTTTTTAGTGTGAAAAAACTTTTTGAAGAACTGAAATGTCATGTGTGGGGCTGTTAAGAATTCATCTTCAGTAAAAGGTTGAGAGATACAACCATTTTGTTTTGTCTTTGTATTGCTGTGATAGCTTAGCCAAAATTCCCCCTTTGGTCCACTGAGTATTTACTGTTGAGTAACTGTGCACTTATTACCTGAATTTAATGATGGGGAATCCTGTGTTATTAATTAGTAGGATCCTTCTCCTCAGTGAAAAATCTTCTCTATTAGTCTTTTCAGATCAAACCTCAACACACTCACATACATGTACAAATTAAGAAGGAAAAAGAACAGATCAAAAGCTTCCAAGACACAATGTTAACCTAACACATGTATCAAGTGTAGCTCAACTGACAGTGCAAAGCTTAGTTAACAGGTTTCAACAGGAAAAGATCAAAGAATCTGCAAGAATGTAAACTGGTCATTTCATAATGTCTACTGTACATATAGGGTCAGCAGATTATTATCCACTGATCAGTAATACAACCACATTACCTTCAGTGTTCTCTTAGTGGCCATAAGAGTGTGTTGGAGTTCTCACAAGTAACTCCTTTAGATCAGTTGTTTATGTAGCTCTGCCCTTTATTTTTATGCACACTTTGTCTTATTCTTTTTATAGTCAATATAATCCTACTTTGCTCAGATTTTAAGATGCCCTATTTATCAGTTAATTACTATGGCAACCCAGACTAGGGAGCTCATTTTATTTATTCACATACTTTAATTCACAGGCATCTCTGTTATGTTTTCACTGTTAGATGAGTGCCTGAGTGTCAGTAAGACAACACTGAAGGAGTGGAAACAACATCTTCATGTTTCAACTTTAAAACACAACTGTGTTTCAACTTTAGCAAAAAAAAAAAGAAATAAATCTAACATTTACTGTTACTGAAGGAGTTAAAAAAAAAAAAAAAGGAAAAAAATAAAGAAAAAAAAAGCAAGAACCCAACTACTGTGGATTTTTAAAAAAATCCAGAATCCAAACTCAGCAATCTTTGGAGACCCTTTTACAAACATGTGGACCACAGAAAAATCATACCTTTGTGAAGACAAGGAGGGAAGGGGTGGGGGAAGGAATCCTTTCTCTAGCATCACAGAAGAGACTTGCATCTGGCACTAAAACAGGGTCACGGCTTTTAGTTGTTACAGAAAGCAACTTCATGCTAAAATTTTCATCGTTTTAAAATGTATTCTTATGAATAGGGAAAAAAAACCCTGCTAACATCTACTTTTACATACCTAAAATTGCAACACCAAAAGGTGCAAGAGACACAGATACTGTGAATAAAGAAGTAGAATATTCAAGTATATGAGGAGGGCGTATCACAAATGGCCACAGAGAAATATATATATCTATAATACTGTATCAAACAGATGGAAAGGATGTGAAACTGGTGGTGTGTACACAAATCTAGCCGCTTAACCAACTTTCTAATCAGACACAAGTCCACTGGGATAGAAGTGCTTGCTTTCAACTGCTTTTTTATGTCACTTCCCCAGCACAGTTCAAATGTTTTCAGCTACGATTTTTAGTTATTAGTTAAATAATTTATTGGCTTTTCAGCTATACACTGACATAATTAACCAGGTCCAAAAAAATGTTAATAACTTAATTCAACTTTTGTTCTACTCATTTATACAAAATAACATCTTTTAATTAAACTTGATTTTCTCTATATGTCCTTCCTTCTGGTAAGCAGACTGTTTATTTAACCTGTAATAACTTACAATGGGCAACTTTTTTACTTCCCCGTCTATCAACAGAACAATTAAATGAGCCACTTGGGATATTAACAAGGCTCTTCAGAAAGAGGTGGATGGCCTTCAGGCACATGAAAGGTAAAAATGCATTTTATCATAGTACGGTACTCCATGCAAGACAGAGCAGAGCAACAATAATTGTCCAATGTAACATACTGCAGTTGTATACCCAAATAAAGCCAGTGTCTTCCTGTCGTAAATGGAAATCAGGCCCATTTCTGCATCTATTTAATATTTTTTCTGTTTTGTTTTGTTTTTTTTTTAACTGTATGGTAACTACAAGTCTTGGGATGTGACTTAGTTTTAGACATGGCAAAGAATGAATGTAACACTTGCTCTGAGCCCATTCCTGCCAAGAGCTCATGCCTAAATATTATTACTTCATACAACGCGCAATGAGCAAATTCATAAGCCCTGCTTAGCCAGGGCTGCTGTGACATCTTCAGCCAGGGTAGCAAGCTGGGGGGACTCCAGCAGGTTGATGCTTCCAGAGGACGAGACGTTGCTGAGCCTGCGTGGTGAAGCCACGCTGGACCTGCCTGGTGACTGCGTGATGATCTCAGCCCCGTGATCCACACGGGCCTTGGCGTGCTCTCTGAAGTTGAGCTTCTGGCTGTCAATCTGCTCCAGGAAAGCAAAGAATTTAACACATCATATACTCACCAGATTACCTCATTATACATAATTTGAATTTCACTTTGTTTACTTTAAGGAACTCTTACAAGGATTGAAGCTTCTGCACTCCTTGGAATAATTGAAGATTTTTTCACCTTTTTAATACACATTGGCTTACTGTGTCACATTCCCTTGCTATTTCTGTCTCAGCCTTAATGGGCAGTACCCCTGTTCCTAGCTGTATTTAACTGACATTTTATGGTCACTGTGAGTTATTTCTGAAATCTGCTTTTTCATATGTTGGTAGAGTGATCTTACTTTAAAGATGCCTTCCCAGTTTCACAAAGCAGTCCTGATCCTCTGATACGTAGTATCAGACTCATACTACAAACTTACTAGATCATACCTATGCTGCACTTAGGAGGAGAGCCAGTGCACAAACTAAAGGACATTTCACTTTAAGATTCACTCTCAGCTTAGATGTGGATGTGAGACTCGTTATTCCAAACTCCAAAGGGAGAAAATGGCATGCAAGTGTGCTCAAAGGCAAACAAACAGATGTCTCCTACTCAATTCAGAGCCAGTGCTGAATTCACAGCTCCAATGATTTCACAGGGCCAGGGGAACAGTGGTACCTTTTCTCTGACATCTGTCCCCTTACCTTGACATTACCACCGCCAGGCACGTGGTGGGCATTTTCCAGTGAACCAACTTTAGCCTGAGCTTTTTCTTTGAAATCCAGTTTCACACTCTCAATTTTCACACGCCCACCTCCTACACAGAAAAAGGACATAGAGATGAAGAGGTTAGAATGGTTCAGGAGAAAGCCTGACCTGATGTGCATGGGTGCACCCACGGTACTTCTCTTTTAGTTGAGATCTAATTGTTTCAGAGAAGCACAGAGTACCTCACTGCATGTTTAGCAACAGCAACTCTTCAACACATACTCAAACTGTACGTGTATGCTGCAGCCCTACTGATGTTCATGGGATTTAAGCACATGCTTAAATATTTTGCTGTCTTCAGTTTTCATTTCAGTATCTTATCAAAGTGACATTATGCCACAACAGCATCCTTCTGCATTTATTTTTGTATCGAGTCTCTAAACTAGGTGGGGTCCCACACCTTTATTCCTTTATATAGTTAGTTAACTAGAGTTAAGAATACTGTTTTTATTTCCAAAGTATGTTAAGTTTGTTTTGGACCATAAAAGAGAATGGTATCATCCATGATTTCTCCTTCACATAACAGGATTAGGTTTTTGCTTTGTCCCACATCCCAGAAGTTCTGACAATACCTGGCTTGTGGTGGATATTCTTGAGGGAGCCACACTTGGAAGTCACATGACTCAAGTCGATCTTCTTGGTTACGATTTGTACCTGTGAGAAGCACATACATAAATTGACAGAATGAAGAGAATAAAATAAATAAAAAGCCAAGCCCTGCAGGGGGAGAGCCCAAGCCTCTACAAACCACTGGAAATGGAGAGATGGTTAGTAGAAAACAGACCATGCCAAAAATGAGAAAACACCTGGATTAATACAGCAAGCTTCCTCTCCACCTAGGGAAATGAGAGAGCTGGGTTAAGCTTCACTATTAGCAAAATAAAAAGGACAAAGCAGATCAGCCTGCAGGTTCTTTCTAAAATGTTTCTGAGCTTCCTCTCAGGGTGGATGCTCTAAAGCCCTGCATGCAGCAGGACCCATCCTGTTTACTTCTGATCTGGAATGTGCATCCTGGGAACTAGGAATATTTCAGTGACTTGTTTTTTTTTTCTCTACCATCTGTTTCATATTCTTCTGCATCTAAATATGGTGTGCATTTCAGCTCAACCCTCCACAGAGAGCCTGATAGATCTACAGATGTGACTGCTGCAGCTCACCTGAGCTGGCTAGTGTTCAGCCAGCTGGCTAGGTGGTGCTCACCAGACAGCAGAAGCATTGTTCTGCACAGCCAGGCTGCAGCACAGGCACCCTCCCTCCTGCAGCTGCTCTGTGCTCTGCTGCTGGCTGCGTTGCCATGACTGCACTGAGCCCAGCTCAGAACAGCCACCGAGCAGCACCCTGGCCTTGCTGTGCTCCCAGATGCAGCCCAGAATCACAGTGACTGTGTTAGCAGGTTTGAAGAAGCTGCAGCCGCTCCAGGCCAGACAAGAGCTCCAGGATGACTGCAATGCCACTGGTTTGCTCACATTACCAGCAATTACTTCAGCCAGCACTGGTGGCTTCAACTGAAACTGTTCGGATCAGACGTACCCATACCGCCAGCTCCTCCATCTGAGGGGAGATCACTTCCCAGCAGAGGCGTCAGAACTGTCTGAAGCTATTCCAGTGTGACTGCTAGAACTAACATGTGTCTGGTCAAACCCCATACAACCTCTAGTTATTATACTGGAATAATGCTGTGGCATTAGCATTAGCACCAGCACGATGGTTGATCACACCCTCTTTGTCTTGAAGTTTTATTTTTCCTCTTTTTCCTCTCAGGTTAATTGAGGAAGGACTGATGCATTGCAAGATGCCCAACTGTGGAGGCTGGAGTCTCACTGTAAGCTGGAGTCTCTTTCTGGAAATTACTTTCTAGGGCCACTCCCATGAAAAGCACTGAACAATTTCAGCTCACAGTGAACTTTGACTGTTGGCACCCTTGGGTGCTTAATGACAACCCTTTTCTTATTTTCTTGTCCTGAACACGTTCTGGAAATGTGTTGAGCTCTGTGGAGAAAGATGAAGAGGCCACCACTGCACACACAGGGCTCACCCAACTACTAGACCAGACTCACGTGTGAAACAGCAGTGAGAAGGAAAGTAGTGCTCAGAGGAAAGGAGACAGAAGAGGCTGGCTGTGCAAGGTGGGTCAGCACAGTGGAGATGCCTACTCACCCCTACAGGGTGTCTGTACTACTTACATTTCCTCCCCCTGCAGAATGTTTGATGTTATCTCTGGAACCACACCGGGACTGAATATCGCTAAAATCGATCTTCTTGTTTAAAATCCTAACCTAAAAGGAATTGAAGGTAACTTACTATTTACCATACACACTGTATGGGGGTGCAGGACAAGGGAACCTGGGTAATTTCAACTCCTTCTTTTGACACTGGTATTGAAATGTGAAAAAGTAAACCACGTCAATCTCTATGCTTAGTATGTTTTTGTACTGCATATGTAAATGTACAGTACTGCTCTTTTTTCTACCTCCCAAAGTGGTGGTGAAACATAAAGGTTAAGTTTTTATACTGGGAGATAGGAGAGGTGGCTTTTTTTTTCCCTTGGACAGCCTGACCCAGGCTCTCTTGAGTGATGGCCAGTGTTTCTGCTGAACAGGACACAGGAGAAGATGGAATTCCTCTTCCCCACAGCTCAACACTCCAGCCTTTGATGCAGAAATCCCAGATCCAGACAGCTCAGTAACCAGTTGAAATCCTCAAGTATTTCATTCCTCTTCCTGCCATACAGCCATCACAGCACCTACATTCATACAACAGACCTTAGTGTCCTGTGAAAGGGGACTGACAAAATTCAACTGAAGTCAAGAGCTCTTTATTGCTCTCTCTTTCCTGTCATTTACTAAAGGGCAATGCAGAAAACAACACCATCTGCAGACCTACAAGCACAACCACTGTTTCTTGATCTCTGGCAGTGGCCATAAAGTTGGCCACAATTTCTGGTGCTAGCAACACTGTGCTTCTCCCCTGCTCTTTTGTTTCCAGAGGAACAAGTACCTGACTTTCCCTTGATGGTGCCAGCCTCCCTGCAGATGCCAGGAGCCCATATTTTTCCTGTATTACCTTAGCCAGAGAAGCACTGCAGGTATACGATGGTGCCTAGAGGTGGACAAACTCTGTGAAGGGCGGGCCTCACTGTCCTGAACTTGACCCCCAAAGCAGTTCCTGATTGTCCATCCAGGGAATGATGTGCTGCTGGATGTTAGTAACCGACAGGGACAACTGTGTGCAGGGTACCCACCTGAGTGACACCACTTTCAGACTTCTTTCTGAGGAAGGGCAGAGGATTGTGCTCACCAATATTGGGCTTTTCAGGTGTGTAAGAAGGCATTTCTGGCCAAGACTGCACCTGCCTTCTTTGCACCAGAAGCTTTTATTTACTCAGAGTGCCACCTATGCAGGATATCCTTTCTCTGGGTTAAATTCTATTTAAACTCTATTTAAATGTTACATTGTATTATATTTCTTTATATACAAAATTATTTTATATTTTTTTCTGCACAGAAAGCCACCAAATTTTGGGCATTATCTATTAATTTTGCTACATAGCACTTCTAGAGCCTTCACTGACATACTACTTAGTATGGTCCTGTTGGCTGCTGTTGTAGGTAAACCTACAGTGACTGATACAGTGACTGATAAAAGAGAGGGACAGATACACCACGATACCTTACTGTGGCTTCTTACCAGTCCAGGAACACTAAGCAGCTGCAAACCAGCTGAAATGGTCAGTGGGAGGAAGGACCCTATGGTGTCTGTACCTCCTGGCTTCAGGTCCTCAAAAAGCCCCAGGTGTCCTGCTAAATCAGAGACAAATCAAACCATCTGTGCCTGACCTGCCCAAACTAGAAAAAGACTATTTAACCCCTTACAGGGATGTCAGATTTAGCAGTTCTTGGCTCCTGCAGTGGGGATAATGTCTCATCTAGGTAATTAGTCAATTCCTCCGGCACTGAGCACCTGGAGCACAGTCTTGACTTAAGCCCAGTAAATTTTCAGAGGGCGACACTTTGCAGCTAATATGAATTTCTTGGCAGCAAGTTGTTTCATGGGTCCCTCTCATTACATACAGTGCAATCACCATATCAGTCAAACCACTAAGATGTTAAGTGTTCTCTGACTTTAATATGTAAAGACCTGTGGTGATGGCATGCTCAGCACTAAGGCTGATGACAGAATCAGAAAACTCCACAACTGCTGGGTCACTTTTCAAAGGGAATCTTTGACAAGCAAACTGACTTCTGTCTTTCTCTCTCCTATCTGCTTATTCCATCAAAGTAAAGCAATGTACACTGAAACATGAAAGCAAATGCCTTTAGTTTTATTCTCATGCTTTGTCTCAATATACTGTTTGTTTAAAAATGTATCCCAGTACTAAACAAGACAGATGTCACATCAGTTACAGAAACACACGTCAGATGTGCAGTCAGATCTGGATCCTGGAGAGCTTCAGGCCAGACACAACTGGGTAAACTAGAAAGCCTTCCTATCATTTCCTGAGCTTATCTCTCCCAGCAGTGGATCAGCAGCACCTCTTGTCAGTGGCCACAGAGATGCATCAGCTCTGAAAACACTGACTTGAGGGCCATGACAAGACCTCAGCACTGTTGACTGGAGGCCTGTAGCCTAAAAATGGAGTCAAAGCAAGGTGGTAAGTTGAGAGGGTGCCTTTGATCAAGTGCCTAAGGGTTGACTTGCACCAGAAGTCTGACAGTTTATAAGTCTTGTGGCCCATGGACCTGGCTAGCAGATACGTAAAGGGCCAATCATCTCAGTTATTCCATCTGTCTCACTGAGTGAAATGTGCCCCTGTGTAGAGGGGCCAACAGGACACCTATGTGTCACTTACGTGCTGAGAGCTGAAGTGAGCTGAGTGATGTGGATGGATTCTGCTGGTCATCTGGCACAGGGAAGAACTGCAATGATCCAGGTTTTTTCCTGACCATCTGTTTCTCCCTTTTTTGGAACGTACCAATACCCCTGAACATACTTAAATACTAACTGCCTTCTGTACTACATGTTCCACAAACTAAAGGAGCCTTGTTTCCTACAGATTAAGGCTTTAAACTCCTTCATCCATCCATCCATCCATCCATCCATCCATCCATCCATCCATCCATCCATCCATCCATCCATCCTATCCCCTCTTGTCAGCAATACCTCCCAAACTTTCTCCCTGATCTGCTAGATTGGGCAAATAGAAGCCAATACACAACAGGCCAGCTGTTTGTTGTTGCTGATTGTGGAGAAGGGGCTGAATTATTGCTGCCTTTCCAGTCAATAACTATAAACCAGCTTGGAGGGACCATCTGTGTTTCTAATCACACTGGTGAAATCAGCACTGGTTGAAATGGGCCAAAAAGTTACCAGTGAGTAGAGAAAGCCTGAGACTGCCAGTCAGATAACATGAGTGCTTGAGCTGTTTCCTTTGAGAAAAACAGACTGTAACCATCAAAGGGAGAGTACCAAGAGGAACAGGAACTACTTAGGGTAAAGAGAAACTATGGCTTGCAAACAAATAATGTAAACTGACTGTGAATTATTTGAAGCTGGAATCTAGAAGGAAATTTTTAACTATCCGAGAGGGAGGCTCTGAAACTGCCTCTATGGGAACAAGGCTACAACAAGAAAATGGTAAATTTTTATGATGGCACTTGATGAAAGGAATGCAATGCTGCATCTCTCCCTGACAGAGACGGCATGAACACCATGACTCACCAGGAAGCTCTCTCTGCTCCTGCATGTGTGCACGTACATCTTGTGTGGGGGTGGAGGTGTGGTAGGGATGTACATAAATGCACTTTGGTTGTGCTGCACATTAGATGAAAGATGAAGCTTGCTCTTGCTCTCATTCAGGAAAGTGAACATTATAGTCTGTGGCAGAAAGAGAAGTGCTTTCTTATTCACACTCACCAGTGTGAATAGACCCCTACAAGACAGGGTCCCTCATTACCCTGGCTCTGGCCTGCCAGTCTGAAATGTGTACATTCTCTTCTGATCTGAGGCTGGTTTGCTCAGGAATATTGGGCAGGGCCTGGAAGTTAGTATTTTGATCAGGATCAAGATGAGGTTCCTCAGCATTTGTCATAAGTATGTGAAATTAAACTGGAGTGGAAAAGTTTAGCCTTACAGACAATGTTTGGTTTACTTCACAAAACCATGTTTCCCAAGGATAAAAATGGCTTCTGTCTGAAGCCCTGGAAGTCTTATGGACTTTACCCACCCCTACTCTTCAGCAGTAATCAAGAAGTGAAGTCCAGAGCAGACTGTGTGTCAATGCACACACGGTACAGCCTCACTGACTCACACTACTCCCAGGTATTCCCCAGCAGAAATCAGACACTGTGGTCCAACACCTTCTGTGCTGTTGGAATGCTGTCAAAGCATCAAGTGATGCAGGGCATTTATGGGTAGCCTGCTAAGAAACCAAGCATTGACAATATTTTTCTCAGAGTTCCTTTAGATAAGACACATATTGATCTGCACTCAGCAGGGAAAACCCTGACTCCCTTTCTAAAAATAGTGGCCTGACTGGCAATTTAAACATGGAAGGCCTCTGGTCTGAGGACACTAGATCAGAGGGGATGTTTTGGTTTACAATGGCTAACACACGAAGAAGTGACAAGCTGACAATACCTGTGAATCACCCAGTTAGATATATGCCTACCTTAAGGCTATTCACAGAAAATTAATTTGGATTTCAATGTCTCCATGTACAACATGGTCCTCTCCAGTCGAGGGACCTGGAGCAGACCCTTCTCTGTCAGTCCTGCACCACTACATTCAAGATGAGCAAAAGATTGTAGAAACACTGAGTGGAAGGCAAAGAAACGTGAAAGAGAATTTAGTTCAGTTGTGCCTCACTACTAAAGACAGCATCAGTGACTGAAAAGTGCTTATGAAAGAGAAAGAATTATGTTCCACAATTGCCCAGAATCATTCAGTTCAGCTGCTTTGCACAGCAACAGGGAAAGGCCCTAACTTACCAGCATGTGGGCAGGGAATCCACAGTTCCTCTCCTGTGGCTTACTACCCTGATACACACCAAAACAAAGACACTCAAAGAACAAAAATGGTGATACTGATAAAGGACAGGCTCTGAATATATTTTAATAAAGCTGATGGTTTAAGATCTCCCAGCTTTGCAACTATGGTCTCCGAGAAGCTCTACCACAAACACATCATTTAAAAAAAAATACAATCATTTTAAGATACTCTATTTGGCCCCACTTGCCATTTGAACATGCTGTGGGGCTGTAATACTGGAAAAAGCTCT